CATTGCTCAAGCAGGTTCTCTTCAATTCTGTGTCGTCATGTAAGTCCCAAAGTAGGTTAATTTTGGAAGAGTGAATGTAGCTCTTCCATCCATTGTCTGATTTCATTCCTCTTTTTTCTATGCTATAACTCTTTGCAATCATCAATGTGAAGATCCTGCAGCTTTTCAAAGGGAAACAAATTCTTCATTCTTGAACAACTAATAATTACACAAAATTCTTTAATTAGTTAAAGATGTGATGGAATGTTGGTACGTACAGGCAATGTGTGAGTCGTTGCTGTTCCTTTCACTTTCACATGATCACACATGAATCACTGTGATTGGTAATTATAAAGGAATTAGCATCCAATTAAGAGAGATAGACATCATATGGAATTTGTTAAAGTGAAATCTAAAAACACTGAAATCTTGAAAGTTTACCAGGGTAGAATAGGAAGGTAGAGGCAGTTAGTATAGAAGAAAGCACAATCTGAAAGCGGGAGGAAAGACGGTGAAGGGCTGCAGAAGTGTGCTCTGGCAGGGAACTTAAGATGCTCAAGTTAGCCACAGAAGTTTTTAACAAAATCAATAGATCAAATATGAGAGAAATTCATACCTTGGGTCTGTTATGGCCTATGTATAGGTTGAATGGCTACAAGAGTTGAACAATAAGCCAACTATACCAACTCATATATATCCAATTCACATAAACTCCATTACGTTAGATGTTGCACTAGGGCCCAACTTCAGAGAAGCAGTATATAAGAGCCCTGCAACATGGTTCAATAGATTGGGTGATATAGTGAAAACATAGAACTGACACTTAGATAAACAAATAAGACCCATAATATGAATTGAGGAGCACTTTGGTGAAAAGACAGTATCAAATCCTTTAAGACCACTTAATATTTGGATGAGAAAAATAGAATCAACTAATTACCAGTGTAGAGGTAGCTAGAGGCAAGAAAGCGAATTAAATCAATCTAAATTCTACTTACGATTTTGGACTTTTACATAATTGTTGATCTCCAAATATGGGTGTGTTGGCTGCAAAAAATCTAAAGGTAAGTCACAGAGATTGTCAAGTTAGCCACAAAAGATTTTAACTAAATTGATAGATCAAAAAAATATGAGAGAAATTCATATAATTGTATACGTACATACCTAGTGTCTGTTGTGGCCTACATATATACATACCTAGTGTCTGTTGTGGCCTACATATATATATATATATATATATGTGGGTTCAATTGCCACAAGAGTTGAACAATAATGTGATTAAAGAAATTAAGATGTTGAGGTTGATATAGTTAACAGTCACAAAATATAAAAGAAGAAATTTCTCAAATCTGTTTTACTGCTTATTGCAACACAAAATAAAACAAATATTACCTAAACAAGCATTAATTAAACAAAGTTTATCCATAGTACAAAACAACAAATTACAACAGAGATTGCATTAGATTGAAGCGAGTGTGAGTCCCAATTTTTTTTGTTTTCCTTGGCTGTATATGTTGTTGAGTTGAAGAAATAGGTTTGAGATGGTAAGAGATGCAGCCTGCACCAACATGTATGGAGAAATTACTTAATTCTAAGGATGCAAATATTAGTTAGCCAAAAAAAAAAAAAGGAAAAAAGAAAAATGTTCAAGAAAAATATAAACATATATACTTGGACTAGGCATTAGAAAGTGGACACAAATTGACCAGATTGATATTCAATGGATGACTCAGGAAATCCATTCAGGTTCTTGCTCCCTAGGAATGAATAATTTAAAAAGGAATTAGCATCCAATTAAGGGAGATGGACATCTCATCAGAAGCAAATCAATTAAGGGAGATGGACATCTCATCAGAAGCAAATCAACAAACATATATACCTGAGCTGAGCTGCGCATTAGAAACTAGTCAATTGATAATTGAAACTCGTAGAGGCAGAAGGAAACGCTAAACAGAGCTATAGTTAATAGATACCCAAGTGTCGCAGCTGTGAATAATAAAAAAATGAATTAGCGAGACAGGCGTCTTATTAGCAAATCAGTCAAGATTAGATAATTGAGCAAATCAACGAGGATTAACACTTGCATTCATTCAGAAACAAAAGATACAAACATTTATTTATGAAATACCAGTGAGAGAGAAGGAATGGAATGCAAGTGATAGAAAAAGGGAGATATAACGAGACTTACCTACTACATTGGAGGAAAGGTAGGATGACATTCTTATCGTCAGGATTCTCCCACTCCAACGATTCCCACCATTTTTTTGAATTGAAAATAGAGATATATTTGACAGCAGGAAGAGATGGTTGCGCGTTTTTCCTTCCAAGACAAAGGGGAATCCTCTTTATCTTCAGACAGACATTGATATTGATGCTATTAAGAGATTCACAAACCATTACTCCTCTTTCGGGGCAGATTCTCTTCAATTCTGATAGGGATTGCAACTTCAATATCCTTAATTTTGGAAGAGTGATCAATATTGGAGTAGTTGTTTGATTTCCTTCCTCTTCTTCTTCCCATCCTATTATTTCCTCCATCCCCTTACAATTATTCACCTCAATCAGCTCTAAGTTTTGGAGGCCCTGACCCTGCAGCAGCTCACATGGAAAAAGCTTCTTCAATTTTGAACAATTGCATACTGTCAGCTGTTTAAGATTGGAAAAGATGTGAAGGGATAGTGTCGGTGCAAGCGATGCTCTTGTTTTTTCCACTTTCACAACATCCCGCAAGCTAAACAAACTGTTAAGGGTTAGTACTTCAAGGTTATTCATAACTGTCGAGGAAGTAGATGAAGATGATGACGAAGAGACCACAAACCCTATCCCTTGGCAGATTTCCAAAGCACATGTTCGCAATTGAGTAAAATCTTTCTGAAAAATAGAAATATCACCAGCCACATTGCAGTATTCAATCCTCAACTCCTGAAGGTCATCTGGAAGGACCAACTCATCTTTTGCTCTTATCTGGCATCCGATTAAAATTACCTTTTTAGGAAGACCATTATTCTTGAACTCCCAAAAATGCCCCTTCTTATCTCCGCCTAGGTCCCCGACTTCAAGAGAGTAATGACTGAGTCTTCCAAAAAGGTTCAACTTGCTAACAAAACTACTGAAGTCTTTCAGCCAAACAAATCTAACTTCGAACCATTCCAGCATCTTCAATCTTGCTACTTCTTCTGCTCTTATGTCAGTTGAAAAAATCTTATGTTTACGTAGGTATTGGAGGCGGAAGAGCTTACTGATTTTTCCTTCTGGAAGCACCCTGAGTTTTGGACAAGATAAATCAAGATATTGCAGATTTTCTAACATTTCAATGCCTTCAGGAGCCTCACAAAGGCCTGCTCCATCCAAATCCAACTTCTTCAGTGCTTTAAGCTTTGACAAGGAAGGCATGTGTTTTAAACTCTCACATCCACAGAGGATCAATGTAGTGAGATATTCCAAGTTACATATGGAATTAGGTAGAACCTCAATGCCAGTATTAGAAAGATCAAGAAACTTCAGCCGGGGCATGTTAGTAAAAAAACACTCTGAAATTTCTCTCAATCTGTTATTACCCTTCAAAGTCAAGGTCGAGAGCATCAAGCATTTGGGGGACATATTTTGAGGGATATATGATATTTCATTTTTCATGAGGGAGACCTTGTCTAGATCTTCATTCCATTCATCCTCATCTGGTATCTCTGTCAATCTCATTCTAGCTTTTACCATAAACCTACTAGGACCCGTGCTTTTGATGCACAATGCCATGTCCCTCACAACATCATGCATCTTAACACACGCCTCATCATAGGCTTCCTCTAACAAACAACAGTTTAAAAGCCTATTTAAAATAGCATTTCCTTTATCATGCATTTCTCTTCTACTTCCTAATTTTTTAACAGTTCCCTCACAAATCCAGTTTTCAATTAGATCTTTTCTTCTAATATTCCAATCTTCCGGATACAATGAGCAATATAAGAAACACTCTTGGATGCTTGAATTTGGTAGACGATCATAACTGAACTTCAAACGTTTAAATATCTCGTCCTCTGAATCTTTCTCTGTGTCCACCACGCATTGACGCAATTCACGTAATGCATTTCTCCACTCAAAAATATCTTGTACTCCTCTCATGCTCCCCGCAATGACAACAATGGCCAATGGCAAACCAGCACATTCAGCCACCATAAGCTTCAAAATCTGTTCCAAATTGGGAATTCGTAGAACATCTTGCCCAACCATATCTAAAAACAAGTTCAAAGACTCTAGCTCTGGTAGAGGTGGCACTTTAACTACCTGACATCTCAAGTAGTTGCATACATCAATCGATCTGCTAGTAATAACAATTTTACACCCATTTTCCATTGTTGGTTTTGGGATTCCAATGCTGTGAAGAGTAAATTTATCCCAGACATCATCTAAGATCAGTGCATATTTAACTGTTTTCATAGCCTCCATCAGTCTTGATGCCCGATGCAATTCACCCCGGTAATTTGAAAGATCTGTGTTCATTGCCCAAGCAATGTCATCTTGCAATCTGAAAACATTGAGAGGATATGATACTGTCACCCAGACAACCTTCTCAAACCTGCCAACCTCATTCAATAATTCATTATGGATGTGTTTCATAACAGTGGTTTTGCCAACTCCACCAATTCCACAAACTCCAATAATTCCAACCTCGTGACCCATTAAGTATTCCCAAATTTTTTCC